TTTTTTTTTTGGAAAGCTACAAAACATTTGGCTTGAAATGTACTGTCACTTAATTTCTGTGGCTACAGATTTGTTTGTTCATTGTCCATTGATCTGAAGCATCTGCAGCTTATAGTCGGTTATAGTCTTTTCTTGTGAATGTCTTAAAGGCATTAGAAACCATTTTATTCAATAAATGTTTTTTAATCTAATAACTTTGGAATGCTATTTGTAATTTTTGAGATATCAGGTGGTTTTGTCTGAGTGTTAGCTGAGTTTCCATAGTAGGGTACCAAAAGTATCATTACCCATTACTTTTGATTTATATTAAATATACCATCATATTGTTTATGTATATGTCATATGATATTTGAGTTGAGAGATGTTGTGACATAGAAATAACTTAATTCTTTAGAATGGAAGATTTGAACCATATAATTCAATAATTTTTATAGTGCTAAACTGAAACCATTAAAATAGATTCTTACAGCAACATTACAACAATAAATTATCTCTTAATTTGAGGTCTATACGAATAGACCTCCAAGTAACCAAGGTACATAATAAAATACATGCAAATGTGCATATCATAAAGGAGAAACAATTGCATATTTTATATGATCAGATATGCATAAAATGTCCCTAGAGGGACACATGGATAGCCAACGGTTCTCCTGTAGGGAGCGATATATAAGATAACTGGAAGATAAGGGTTACAGTGAGATAGTAACATTAATTTTACCTTTTTTAATGTGAGTGAAGAGAATTCCCTTTGCCATATCATTTAACTAATAACTAATGCTATTGGACAGCTTTTCATGTATTTATTAGATGTTGATATATTTGCTTTAACAAACTGTCTAAATTCTTGTCTTTTTTAAATTTCAGGTTAATTTGAGGGTAGAAAGAATTAGGTTATAGTGTTTGCATTCGTTAGTCATAGCATCTGCTGTAGTTGTGTCCCACCCCCAAGAGGTGTGCCATATACCTCATATTGTGCCTATTACATGGGAGCATATCAATCTCCCTCCCTCCTCCCTTCTCCCCCTTCCTTCTCCCTGATCTCAAATTGAATTGAGTTTTTCCCTTGTCTGGGGGTGTACTAGATCATCGACTGGCTTCGTATTAGTATCGAGTACATTGGATACTTGCTTTTCCGTTCTTGTGATATTTTACTAAGAAGAATGTGTTTCAACATTTTTATTGGCAGTTGGTTGAGTACATATATGCTTGTTTTATTATTTTAAAAATATGTATCACAAATTATGTAACCAAAATGTATGTACCCCCTTAATATTCTGAAATTTAAAAAATGTACTTTATAAAAAAAAAAAAAATTTGTATTGGGTTGCTTGCCTGGTTGATCAGATAGAATTACTTATAGACTCTGGTGACAAGCTCCTTATCAGATATATGCACTTTATTCCCTCAACTTGTACCACATCCTTTTATTGTATTCCTGATGACTTCTGCTAATCAGAAATGTTGAATTTTTAAAAACCTCATGTTTTTATTTTATGATTAGTTTTTAAAAATATTCTCTCTAACAACTATTTGATTGTCACAAACTCTGAAAGGTATTCTCCCAGGATTCATTTGGGAAACTTTAGAGTTCTAAATTTTACCTTTTGTTCTGTAATAAACTTAAATTAAATTTTATGTATCTGGTGTGGCATCAGGGGACCAAGACATCTATTTCTATGCACATCACCACTCATTATAGCCCTAGTTATTGAAAAGTCTTTCTTTAAATCCATTGGATGTCCTTGGTCACTTTTCTTGATGTATCTGCCTGTACTATACCAATACTTCAATTATTGTTTACTGTAGCTTCAGAAGAAGAATTGTTTATACATTTTGGAAAATAATTTGTTTTATTTTCTCTAGGCTTTTCTCGTGTACAATTTTGTGGTAGCCAGTTTTATATCTTTCTTTCCTGTATTTACATCATTTATTTCTTTTTCTCTCCTTAATACTCTACCAAGGAGCTATATTACAAAAAAAGGGAAGTGTTTAGAAAACACTTCTGGCTTTTTAGAAAACCTCTACTGGCTGATTCTCAGTCTCTCTCACACTCACGCAGTATGTGTGTGTGTGTGTGTGTGTGTGTGTCTATGTAGCGGTTGCTCTAGGAACTATATGTCTGTTATATCACATTCTACCTTGAATTAATGTAAATACCACTTATTATAAATGTAATTTTTTTTTTGAGACAGATTCTCACTTTGTCACCCTGGGTAGAGTGCCATAGCATCATAGCTCACAGCAAACTCAAACTTCTGGGCTCAAGAAATCCTCTTGACTCTGCCTCCTGAGTAGCTGGGACTACAAGTGCCCAGCACAGTGCCTGGCTACTTTTAGAGACAAGGTCTTGCTCTTGCTCAGACTTGTCTGGAACTCTTGAGCGCAAGTGATCTACCTGCCCTGGCATTCCATGGTGTTAGGATTCCAGGCATGAGCCATAGCGTCCAGCCCTAAAAATGTGAAAGCTTTTTTTTTTTTTTTTTTGAGACGGAGCCTCAAGCTATCCCCCTGGGTAGAGTGCCATGGCATCACACTCACAGCAACCTCCAACTCCTGGGCTCAAGCGAGTCTCCTGCCTCAGCCTCCCAAGTAGCTGGGACTACAGGCGCCCCCCACAACGCCTGGCTATTTTTTTTTTTTTTTGGTTGCAGCCGTCATTATTGTTTGGC